TTTTTGATTTAATGTGCATGCAATAACTAGTTGCATTCCTGGTACTTGAAAAAGTAAGCTGTGTATTCCAAATGCATTCGAATGATGATAGTTGTTTGAACAATTACAATTGTTTGAATTTTTTGAGGGACTTACAAATAGCAGACCTAAAATACTGTTTATATTTACTTTTTCAAAACCTCTATTTGCTTATTTGAGAGAAAAACGTCGAACTTCTTTCTGGATAGGCATTTTCTCACAAATTATTAGTGTATGAGCAAAGTTCAGTCAAAGACTTAAAGGTGCTTTAGAAGCGAAACGAAGTTCAGTCAAATTGTACTCGACAAAAAAGGATTTCAAAGTTCAAACCAGTCAACTCACCTTACATTTTAAACTAAACTACATAGTTGTTAATGATTTAAACATTCGTGAGTAAAACTTGTTCGTGCTGGCCAAACCCCTCGTTTGTTTCTTTGTCAGTGAAACCGAGCTTGCACAAAAAATTAAGCTCGTTTAATCTTGAACATATACGAGCTCGATCGCGAGCATACTCATATGGTATTTATAATAAAAAATTAAGCATAATATAATTTATTTTTTTTGTGTATTATTTTTATTTTTATTATTTTTAAAATTCAGTTACATCGCATCCAATGAGTTTTGACTTTTTAGTTACGAGCTTCGTGTAGTCAAATTCAATTAGTTCCGTTCCGTTCGGTTCGATTCCATTCGATTTAGAGCTTACCGTGAATCACGGGTAGGGCTGCAAACGAGTCGAGCGGCTCACGAGCCGCTCGCGAGCGCTTGAGTCAAAGCTCGACTCGAGCTCGAGTTTGACCGAACTCGAGTCAAGCTCCAGCGGCTCGAGCACGAACTCGAGCCGAACTCGAGCCTGTTAGGATCAACAATTCAAAACTCAGTTCTCCATCAAGCCCAACATATAAGCCCAAATGAGGTTCCACTCTAAAACCAATTGGCAATAGAGGGAGTAGCCCACTAAGCTTATATATTGACTTGGAAACCATTAATTTTCCGATGTGGGATTGGGTTTGCACACCCAACAGAGCCTATATTTTTCCTTGTCGAGCGGCTCGTCGAGCAACTCGAGTTATACGTCAGTGACTAAAATACCCCTTATTGTATATCTTAGCATAGGTGCTTAACGGTAATTTTACCTAATTTTCGAGCCGAACTCGAGCCGAACTCGAGCTTTTTGATTTCGAGTCGAGCACGAGCCGAACTCGAGCTTTTTGATTTCGAGTCGAGCACGAGCCGAGCTCGAGCTATTGTAATTTCTTATCGAGTCGAGCTCGAACCAAAAAAATCGAGCTCG